GGGGGGGGGTTGGTGCCTGTCTGTCTGTTTGTCTGTCCTGTCTGTCTGGGTGCCTGCAGGATGTTGGCTGGTTTGCTCAAGCCTGACGATGACGACACTGAGCTGCCGCAGATGCACGTCTCGTACAAACCACAAACCATCACGGCGAAGTTCGAAGGATCCGTCAAGTCAGCCACACCCACACCCACACCCACCCACACACCCACACACACTTACACCCTCCCACCCACCTTAATTACTCTGCACCCACCCATCAGGGCTCTGTTTCTGGCGAAGATCCGGGACGCGTATCTGCATCCTCAGTTCACGACTGACGTGGTGAAGCCCTTGTCGATAGAGAACATCATCGACCAGGAGGTGCAGGTCGTATCGGGCGGCGAGCTGCAGCGGGTCGCCCTCATCGTGGCGCTCGGCAAGCCCGCCGACATCTACCTCATCGACGAGCCGTCGGCTTACCTCGACTCAGAACAGCGTATTCAGGCCGCTAAGGTCATCAAGAGGTCAGTGGCTTGCCCGAAAGAGGGAGGCAGATACGATACGTGGGTGGCTCGCTACACTGACTGTATCGTATGGTATGGTATGGTATGGGTGTGTTTGTTAGGTACATTCTCCACGCCAAGAAGACCGCCTTCGTTGTGGAGGTGAGAGGGGGCGGACGCACTTTTCACAGACAGGCACTCACTCACTCAGACGCCGTCTGTTGGTCTTGTCTGGTATTGCGTGCCTGCAGCATGATTTCATCATGGCGACCTACCTGGCGGACCGAGTCATCGTCTACGAGGGACAACCGGGGTGACATGAGATAACCACACAAACACACATGCATGCCAACAGACAATCTCATTGCCCACATATATACGTCCTCTGCGTGCAGCATCGAGTGCACGGCGTGTTCGCCGGAGCCCCTCATCACGGGCATGAACAGATTCCTCAAGGTAACTAAACAAATCAGCCAACACAACGACCGACACCGCCAATGCATTGCTGGCCTGGCTGTCTTTCCTTTCCCGCCCACCACCGCAGTCGTTGGAGATAACATTCCGTCGCGATCCCACCAACTTCCGCCCGCGGATCAACAAGCTCGACAGCGTCAAGGACAAGGAACAAAAAGTATCGGGCCAGTTCTTCGTCGTTGAGAGCGACTGATCGAGCCAGAAGGGGCAGTTGGATGGCCAGATCAGGGGAGGAGAATTCACTAAGCTGCCACTCAGACAGTGGTGGGCGGCGGGTGTGTAGAGGGCCGGCCGGGGCGTGGTGTAAAGATTTCAATTTCTTGATGGACGGCCGCATGGATGGATGGATGGATGGAGGGGTGCTACGTGACCTGACCTGACGTGACGTGTTTGCGATTTTGGCGATCGCATGTGTGTGTGTGTGTGTGTGGCTGCATGAGTAAGTGAATGGTGGACGCATGTGACGTCTACCCACCTAATGCTGTTTATATATTGCCGTGGCCGAGAAGAGCATTCGCTATGCATGCATGTGTGTGTGTGTGTGTGGTTGTTAACTGGATGTCCGCGTCCGTCTGTCGTCCATCCATCAAAAAGTCCAGTGAGTGCAGCCAGGCAGCCATACAGACAGACAGACAGGTCGGTCAACCAGCGGCGAGTACAGCTCCACCCATTCACGCAATGCAGGGAGAAGGACGTCTTCCATCCTTCATTCGCTCCTTGTGCAGTGCTCCCCCCAGCCACCCCCCCCGCCCCACACACACACACGCACAGACAGAGGGGCGTACGAAGCATCAACCAGCATCATCACCTCACCTCACTGACGGCTTCTCTCCTCTCCCTCCCTCCGTATGGGGGACGCACACACACGACGAATAAATTGTTTGGTCAGCGCACACAGACAGACATGTCTCGTGGATGGATGTTGAAAAAAACCCGGCTAGCAGAGCAGCTGCATGAATCGGATCTATAAGATCGATTCACCCAGCCAGGATATGATATATCCTGGTACAGATATAGAGAGAGAGGCGAGGAGAGAGAGAGAGAGGGGACGAAAAAATGCCGATCATCGAAGAGGAGGGGCGCAAACAGCACCCCCCTTCCCTCACACCCACCCCCCCACTACCACTACAAGCAGGTGTGCTGGTGTGACGGGGTGGTCAGCAGTGTCAAAAAGTGAAGACGGGACGGGATGGACGGGTGGATAGATAGATAGACGGGATGAATGAATGAATGAATGCATCGGCCATCGCATCGTAGGTAGATTCATTGTTCTCTCGATCGACAGCGGTCAACAAACAGGGTTAGTCCAGAAAAACAACCAGACAGACCAGAGCAATCAAACAAGACAATGAATGCAAGAAAGACAAGACACCCCCAGCCCATCTAGACAGCCCACTGGGGAAGGGCGATGGTCAATCAAAACTCCCAGTGGGCCGGTGGTCCGGGGGGGAGGGGGGGTGGGGGAAGAAAGAGAGACACGCAGGGAGGCAGGCAGGCAGGGACAGAGAGACGCCGTCCCTCCGTCAGCTTACTTCCGTTTCCTCCGGCGGTCGTCGTCATTGCCTTTAGATGGTGGTGGTGGTGGGGAAGTGCTAGCTGACGGCGGTTGGACGGTCTCTCCCTCCCCGTCTGGGGGGCAGACGTAGAGGAACCGCTGCAGGACGCGCTGCTTGCACTCGTACGTGCCCGGCCGGTTGTAGCAGCAAGAGTACCACGGGCATGGAGACGTCTCTATGCACTCGTCGATATCTGCACACACACACGCACACGTGTTAGAGAGAGAGAGACAGGGGTTCCTATGCCGTGTGGGCGTGTCTGTGTGTTTGGTTGTTTGGCTGCCTGACCTTCGCACTCCTGTCCGTTTCCTCTGAAGCCCGTCTTGCACTCACACCGCTTCCCGCCGTTGTATCCCACGCAGTTGGCGTGCTCAGAGCAGAACTCACAGCCAGCGGGAGGCCCTGCAACCACAGCACACCACGAAGCCATCCGTGGCATGCCTCTGTCTCCCTTCCAGTGTGCAGCTAAGCTAAGCTAAGCTAGGCGGCTCACGGTAGAGGACTGTGACTTGGTTGGATTCCTTGTTGCGGTTGCCGGAGGGGTCGGTGACGGCGCCCGCGGGGATTTGCAGGGCGGCCACACCCGACTTGACGACAGCCACGGGGATGACGTAGCGCAGACCGACCACGTCGTCACGGATCGGCCTGTCCGCTATCGCATTGAACGTCTGGATGCTCTTCTCCTGCGTGCCATGCAAGAAACACACACCGATTGATTGATCGTAGCGCCGGTTGGTTACTAAGGGCCGGCTGACCGTGAAGCCCCTGACGGGTTCTGTGAAAGTGGCGGTGACATTGAAGGCCCTGAAGACGAGCACGGGGGGCGCCTGGGACCCCAACACAACCTCAGGAGGGACCGTGTCTGCACCATACATCGTTTGTGGACATGTCTCCTCTCCTCACTTCTGTGTCCCCCCTTGTGTGTCTCCCCCACCGACTCCTCCGTACTGACCAGTGCAGTTGAAGGTAGCATCCATGAGTCGCTCTGAGATTTCCTGCATTGAGCTGAAGTCGGTGTTGAAGATGTGCTCGTGGTCGGGGTCGGACGCCATGAACTGCAGCTCGAATTTGTTGACGGCGTCACCCACGCCCACAACGATGATCTCCACACCCATCACCTCCTGCCATTGGAGACATACGACAAGGCACCAGTGAGAGACAAAGACACTCACGAACAAACAAACAAATAAGGCATGCTGTCCGACTGACCTTGAGGTAAGTGGCGACATAGCACTCCTGGTTGTCGGCGCACCCACCAAACCCGTCGGTAATGATGATGATCTTCTTGACCGTCTCGTTCTTGGACTCGGCCAAGAAGATCTGCTTGGACGACTCCAGCGCCTCCGGAGTGTTGGTGCCGCCCCCGGTGAACTTGAGGCCCTCGACGGCGTCGTACACCGCGGAGTTGTTCTGAGTGATGTTAGTGAAGGAGATCGGGTTGGCCCTGGAGCTGTATGGCACGAGAGCGACCCGCACGGCCTCGTCGTCGACCTCGGTCTTGTCGGTGAGGGACTGCACGAAGTCCTTCATGGCCTCCCAGCCGGCCGCCTGCACCGACCCCGATCTGTCCAGCACGATGATGAGATCGGTCCGCTCACGGCGGCAAGCTGCATCGCAGCCATTCCATGCATCAGACAGACATGTGAGGAATGTCTGTCCTCTCCTCCGTGTGTGTGATGTGATATGGTAAGTCCCTACGGGCGACGGGCGCTCGAGTGGTGGAGCTGATCGTCACGGGGGGGGTGACGGGAGCCGTAGTGGTTGCATTCGGGGCGACCGGAGCCGCAGTAGTTGATGATGTCGTTTCTGGCCTCTCCGGGAGGATGGCCTCTGCCGTCGATGTCGGGACCTGCGTCGTGCTTGTGCTGGTGGTCTCCGGCCTCACGGTTGTTGAGGTGGCCGGGAGAGGCGTCGTGGTCTCGGGAGGCGGGGGCGTGGTGGTCAGGTTCAGCACCGGCTCCTCTGTGGTTGTTGTGGTCGTCTTAAGAGGCTCTGTGGTTGGTGCGGGGGTGGGGGAAGTGAACTCGGGCAGAGCTGTGGTGGTCGGCAGGACCGCCGGCGGGGTGCTCGATTCTAATGTGGTCTCTATCGTCTCTGTCGTTGTGCTGGTGCTGGTGGTCGTTGGGGCCTCTGTAGTGACCTTTGCCGTCGTCGTTACCAAAGGAGGGACTGAAAAAGCAGAGGACAGAAGTGCTGCGCCACCCCACCCGACCTCCGATCCCTGCTCTCTCACTTGTGGTGGTTGTTGGAAAAGGTGCGACTGTGGTGTTGATGACCGGCTCTGTCGTCAGAGGTGCAGTCGTGGGCAGCTCTGTGGGCACGGCTGGGGGCGAGGTGAACTCAGGGACGGCCGGAGTAGTCGTCACGGGGGCAGCAGGGGTCGTGCTCGGCGCAGCTACACATTGGAAGGAGGTGAGAGCGATGAAGGCTAAAGGTGCTCGGCTATGGCCTTACACTCACCGGTAGTCGACGTGGTGGGGACGGGAACTGCTGTCGTGTTGACCACTGGCGGCTCGGAAGTGAACCAGAATGTGGGGGCCGAGGTAGTTGTTGTCTCCTTGACAGGTGCTGTCGTTATTATTGGCTGTGGAGTTGTGGGGACAGCGGGGGCCGCACTCGTGGTGGTTGGTAATGCCGGCTCGGTGGGCAGGACAGCCGGGGGCGTGCTTGTGGTCACAGCAGCAGCTGAAAGAAAGAACCAAAAAGAAATCGTGCTTGTGTCTCCCCCTTCCCAGCCTCCCTCTTACTTGTGGTGGGCACTCTTGTGGTCGGCACTGGAGGTGCTGTCGTATTGATGACGGGTGGCGGCATCGTCGTATTCATCACAGGCGGGGCCAAAGTCGTGGACTCAAATGGGGGGGTGGTGGGCAAAGCCGGGGGGGACGTGAACTCAGGCAGAGTCGGGGCACTGGTCGTTGATGGAACTGGGCTTGTTGTTACCCTCTCTGTCGTAGTGGTCGGCGCCCTTGTCGTCACAGCTGCATTAATCGCCGAGCAGAGAAAGGAAGATCGATCCTTCAAGTGATGTCTCACTGACGGGTGCGTCGATGCTTACCAATTGTCGATGTCGTCGGCAGCGGTGGCACTGTCGTGTTGACGAACGGCGCCTCCGTGGTAAGCTCAGGAACAGCTGTAGTCGGCAAGACGGCCGCCGGTGTGCTTGTCGACACGGCAGGTGCTGCAAGCATGAAAAGACAACACAAGTCAGATTGCATGCGGGTGTCTCGTCCGTCTCGGCGTGCCCCTACTCGTAGTTGGTGGCAAAGGCGCGGCTGTCGTATTGATGGCCGGCGCTTCGGTCGTCACATACTCATATGGGGGCGTGGTGGGCACACCGGGGGGTGACGTGAACTCAGGAACAGCAGTCGTTGTTACCACCGGAGCCCTTGTGGTAGTTGCCGGCGGTGCGGGGGCCACCGTCGTGTTGACCACAGGCGGCTGGGTCGTGACAATCTCGAATGGGGGTGTGGGTGTCTCGGTGGAGGGAGGGGGAGAGGTGAAGACGGGGAGGGCAGTAGTGGTGGTTGATGGGAGCCGTTCTGTTGTCACCCTGCGTGTCGTGGTCGTCACGGGGACAGCTGGTGCGGTGGTGTTGACCTCAGTAGAAGTAGTAAAGACTTCTGTGGGCTTTGCTGTAGTTGTCACCTCCACAGGCCTTGTGGTCTCGGGAACAAGCGGTGGCCTGGTGGGCAGGACCGCTGGCGGCGTGGTCGGCTCAGATGTGGTCTCTATCCTCTCCGTGGTGGTAGAGGTAGAGGGCGCCTCTGTCACATAACGAGTGGTGGTAGGCAAACCTGTCACTGAAAGAGAGCAACAGAGGAGGAACACATGTGTCTCGTGAACCCATTTACTCTCAAAGAGTTCTTACTGGTGGTTGGTGGCCTGGGAGCCACAGTCGTGTTGATAACCGGCTCTTCGGTTGTCACATACTCAAAGGGAGGTGTGGTGAACTCTGGGATGGCGGGCGCCGTCGTCTCAGGAGCCCTTGTGGTGCTCGTCGTCGTTAGAGGTGGTTTGGGGGCCACCGTCGTCTTGACCACAGGCGGCTGGGTCGTGACAATTTCGAAGGGGGGCGTGAATGTCTCGGTGGAGGGAGGGGGAGAGGTAAAGACGGGAAGAGCAGGGGTAGTGGTGGCTGGTGGCCTCTCAGTCGTCACTCTGCGCGTGGTGGTGGTGGGCAGCGGGGCCACCGTTGTATTCACCAAGGGCGCCTTAGTCGTGAGCCACCAATCTGGAGGCTCCGTGGGCTCGACCGTCGGCTCTTCGGGAGGTGTGGTGACCTTGGGGGTCTCCGGCACCTCAGGCACGAGAGGTGGCCGAGTCTCCGGCCTCTCGGGCTCAGGTGGCGGCCTGGTTGGCAAGACGGCCGCCGGTGTGCTCGTCGACACAGCAGCAGCTGAAAGAAAGAACCCGAAAAGAAATCGTGTTTGTGCCTCCTCCCTTCCCAGCCTGCCTCTTACTTGTGGTGGGCACTCTTGTTGTCGGCACTGGAGGTGCTGTCGTGTTGATGACGGGCGGTGGCACCGTCGTATTCATCACAGGCGGGGCCAAAGTCGTGGACTCGAAAGGAGGCGTCGGGCTCGTGAACTCGGGAAGGGGAGGCGCAGTCGTGCTAATGACTGGCCTTTCTGGCGCTAGAGCAGCTGACGACAGAAGGTACCGAGTGTAGATCATACAACTTTAGGACAAAGGACGGACCACAGACCCACAGTTGCTACTCACTTGTGGTCGTCGCTGGCGGTTTGGTGGTGGTCTTTGGCGGCGGCTTGGTGGACACAAAAAGGAACTCTGTGGATGTGGGCTCGGACGTGTCGATGGGGATGGATGGGGTGCTGGTGTTGAAGAGGAATGTCGGCAGGGGCTCGGTCGTTGTGCTGGGAGCAAGAGTGGTCGCCTCGGGAGTGCTTGTGGTCGGGACCACACGAGGAGCTGAGGTATATGATACACACGCACCGATGAATGCATAGACAGATGAAGACATACAGCCACTTAGACTGACTTGTCGATGTCGTTGGCCTCGGTGCCGACGTGGTGTTGATCAGCGGCTCCTCCATAGTGAACCAGTCCCACTCTGTCGGTTCCTCAGTCGTCGGCTCCTCAGTCGACGTCTCCCACCATGGCGGCCATGTCCCAGGGAGGATCCCCTCACCTCCCTCAGGAGTCGTCACCTTGACGGTCGTCTCAGCGGGTGTTGGGGCGGCAGTGGTGGTTGTCACAGGGGGTTTGGGGGGCACGGTGCAGTTGAAGCTGTCGAGGTATTCCCTGAAGAACTCCAGCTGGGGGTCATTGAGGAGTTCGGGGTGCTCCTGCATGATGTCGACGAAGCTCTCGATGACCGAGATGAAAGCCTTCGAAAAGAAGCACCCGGGGCAAGGGGAGGAGGGCTCATCGGCAGTGGCCATATATTTCAACTCTGCCGCCTTCATCTCTGCGACACACAGGCACACACACACACACACAGAGGAAGATAGAGAGAGCGATCTGTCTTCTGTTGTCTTCTGACTGACCCTGGGACATGCCCGAATGGCCGGCCAACCCACAGAGAAGAAAGACACACAGGGCGAGGCCTCTGACGGAGCCGACGACGCGAAGGGCCATGGTGAACCGCAGAAATGACCACAGAGAGGAAAGAACTGACACACACAGCAGAACACGCATCCCCCTCACCTCTCGAGAACAACCACCGTCCAGCCCCCAGACATGACAAGCACGACCCCACCCCCGTGTGTACCTTAGAATGGGTGTTCGATGGAGCAGTCAGGGATTGCAGTGGGGGGACAGAGCGGAGATGACTCGCCCTCGTGAAATCTCCGGGCATGCACCGGCTTGTGCGCGCCCCTCGGTTGTGCCGTCGATGATTCAAAAGGGGTCGGGCTCGAAAAGCTCTTGGTCAACCCACCAGCTCCCCCAACACACAAATGAGGTGGGGTACGTTCGGGGGGAAGTCGGTGAAGGGCAGTTCTGACACAATCGAAGCTGTCTGACGAGGGGCTCGTGTGTCTGCGGTGAGGGGCAGCTCCAAAAACTCGGGGTCGAGCTCTGGTACGTCAGAGAAGAGCCAGACGATCGCTAGAGCTCCTATCAAGGCAGCTTCGAGCATCCGATGCCGACCTCTTTGGGGCCCTCGCCGTTTCGCTGGGGGCCGCGCGCGATCCGTTTGCCCTCCCATCAGAACAGATTAGGGACAATTGCCTGACTTTAGGCTATCCAGCTACGTTGCCGCTCTCGGTCTCCCTCTGCGATGGTGCTTTCCTCGTCTGATTTGGCCGTGAGGGCCCTGTGTATGGTGAGTTGTGTGGTGTCTGCGGTCACCACGTCGGTCACCGTATCGCATGGCGTGGCTGCGGGTTTGACAGCCGAGGGCGATGACAAGACCTGGACCGTCGCCCACAACAAATACCGCTGTCTGTAAGATCACACAAGTAGACCAAGCATTCATGGCCGGAGCTGTGCGTTCTTGCTCCAAATTTGCAGCCATGGCGGCCCTTATTTAACATGGAACCAGTGGGTGGCCGACTCAGGTAAACACATTTCTCTGCATGGTGTTTCAATCTGCGGATCGTTCGACGTGCAGCACAAGAATGGTCCAACAAGCTGAAGTCGAAGGAGGTGTCTGGGCATTCTAAGTCATACAAGCTTGAACCCCCTCAGGGGCCGGCAGGTGGGTAGACGACACAGCAGTGTGTGTCCACCGGGCAGGCAGACAAGCCTGCAGTGTCTCGATCTCCCCCTTGCACGCTGCGCCTGTGTCATTTACGTGTAGGGGAGAACCTGGCATGGGGATATGGAAATGCGGAGCTTGCCACTCACGGCTGGTACAAGGAATACGACATGTGGCTCAACACGTCGCAGGACAGCTTCAGCTCTGGCACCGGGTGGGTGGGTGGGTGGGCGATCCACTCGGATGCTCCCTGCCAGGAAATGGTCACGTGTGCACTGCACGTTATTGTTTGTCTCTTTCTTTTCTCCCTTTAGCCACTTCACTGGTAGGTGAGGTCGCTTATCCGTCGATTTTCTGTAGTCTGACTCTCTCGCCGTGGCAGCGATGGTATGGAAGGGTGTGCGGCAGCTGGGCTGCGGCACAGCTGAGAAGACATACACCTGCAGATACAAAGCCAGGGACCAGACGGTAGGCGCTCATGGATGGCAGACAGCCAATCCACCCACATATCCGCATACACTGCCCTTGTCTTATGAGCTGACTGCATGTCTGATGCTCTCTTCTCAAGGGCGGGGACACGCCAAACATGGGTGAGTATGTGTGCGTCTGCGGGAGCGAGGCACCAGGACAAGGGACCATTGTTTGGCTTCATGAGTTCAGGGGGGAACTTCGCCACCCAGGTGCCGCAACGAGGCAGTAAATCGGAAGAGGAGTGCGAAGAGGAAGCTGAATACATGTGGTGTAAGTGTTCTTGTCTGCATTTCTGCACACACGCCCAGGGAGGTACCAGAGGCAGCATAACCATGCATGTGTCTCCCCGTCTCTGTCTGCCTGTGATGGCGTCTCACCTCACTCAGACCTCGTCAGCAACTACACCACACTGATAAGGGGTCTCAGCCCGACGCCTCTGGCTGCCTACCTCACTGCTACGCAAATGTAGGAACAAAGGTACTGCACGACGACACGCGGTGGATGTGTGTGTGTGTTGTGTGCTTGTTGTGTGTTGCGCCATCTCTGCCACAGGGACGACCAGTACACGAATAACACGACTCAGTGCGACCTCACGCCTCAGAAGATGACATGTACTGCGCCCGAGCAGCCCATCACCGCAGAGGACTTTGGGCTTTTCGTGGCCACACTCGGAATATCACAAGGAGATGGGGTGAGTAAGCCCACGAGACATGGGTATCGTCTGACTGTCTGTTTGTCTGACTGTCTGTTTGTTTGTCTGTCTGTCTGTGGGTGGGCTACTTGATACTCATGCAGGCGAAACTGCTGGCGATGCTGGACAGAGACGAGGATGGCGACATTTCCTACGAGGAATTCGCTTTTGTCGCAGACGGTCAGCCGAGACACACACAATCGCGGCATGTATGTGTGTGTGTGTATGGCTCTGTCAATGCGTGCAGATGGCCTTGGAGGGTGGGCGGAGGTTGATGATTGGGTGGACACACTGAGCAGCTCCGTCACCGGTGCGCCGCATGGTTTCCTCTCTGCCGCGGTTGCTCTGGTCATGGCATGGCTGTGGATGAGCTAGACTGACCGATCGATGCGAGAGAGAGCGCGATGAGTGAGATTGCCGGTTTGATAACTGATTTGGTCTTCATTGTTCTCCGGTCTCCAACAACTGTTATCCAGTTGACAGCTTTTTATTCTTTCCCTTGGATTGTGTTGTTGTGTGAAAATCCTATCCATATGCGCATTCAATGCGTCTGTCTGTCGCCCAAACAAGATATGCTATGAGACAAAGCATGCAACCGCTGTCTGTCGACACGACACCCACACACGGCTGGTGACGTCCGAATCAACCAACCCGCCATACCTCAGCCACGCACGAATATGCACATCGTTTCTCACACGATCCACCGGTTACGCACGACGCTGCACCACCGCCCCTTCCCTCTGCTGTCTTGCCTGTCGCTAGGCCTCTATCTGGTCGAAATTGGTGTGGCCGGTTTGCTTACAGTGCTCCACTGCCTCTTTCTCGCCCTTGAAGGCCTGCGCGCACACCAGACACCGGATGGTCATTCCCGCCGTGTCGGTGTACTGCTTGCGGGTCTTGAGGTCATCCGCTATCTCCAACGCCTGAAGGAAGGAGCCATGAGCACCATCCCAATCAACAAAGGCGTAATGCGTCGTGTCGGTCTGTCTGTCTGTCTGTCCGTCTGGTCGTGTGTTGCCTCGCTCACCCCGCCTAACGCCATGTCGTCTGCGGGGTCGAATAGCGTGACCTCACCGCCGCCCGCCTTGCGGCCGACAAAGTAGTCGTAATGGATGCCGTCATACAGCAGCAGACCCCTCTTGGGATACTGCTCCGACTCACCTGCACATATATCCCAAAACAGCAGCACAGCATATATAATATGACACACCTCACCTCTCTGTCTGTCTGGTCGATCGGTTGACGATTGGCTGACTGACTGACCATAGCTGTCGACCCTGAGTGTCTGCACGTCGATGGCGCTGAACTGCGTCCTGTAGTACTCGGCGAAGATCATCAACTCAATGAACCCTCCCCAGCTCTCGCTCTTCAATATCCACTCGCAATACCGGTCCGTCGGCCTTCCCAATATCGCCTCGCTGAACCGGTCTGGGTCTCTCCTGACGGCGTCGCGTATGATACGCCTGAGGTCCATGTTGCTCTTGGAGGGGTCGACGATGGACCGGATGCAGTTGAACAGGCACGAGTTGTCGGCCGGCACGACCTTTCTCTCAACCTGAAACAAAGAAACAGACCGACAGACACGCAGCCGCACTGCATGATCCGCATGCATTCATATCCCTCCCTCTTGGATCGGTACCTTTTCAACATGATCCGCCTCTGCTGCGCAGCTGGCGGGACGGGCCTGTGACGATCCGCCATTCTGCTGTGGTGCAGAGGGCGGGGGGGACGCTGTCGGTGGTGCCTGGAGGGTCTGCTGCTGCCCATTGCTGACATCCGACCTCTCCGCGCCCTCCTCAACGACCAGCATCTCATTGTCGGCAATGGGCACGTCGCTCAGCGGCCTGTCGTCTGCCAGCGATGTGTCGATGGGCTGCGGAGGGAAGCCCACCTTGATGACCTGCCGGTTGGCTGCGATGCCGGTGCACTCGCTCACTTTCTGCCGCAGTGTGCCGAGGACGAACGGCTCCTCCAGCTCTACCGGTGAGCGCTTGCCTTGATGCCGGATCAGCAGCCTCATCTCGGGGAAAGTATCACGTTTCCTTTTGCTCATCAACCGAAGCGGAGCTTCCTTTCTTTCCTTGTCCTGAGAGAGCGGTTTCACGGACATCTGCGAGCTCAGAGACCTCCAGCCCCCTTTTAGATCTGAGGATCTGGCGCTTCCCGGGTGTTTTGACGGCATCGGCAGTCAACAAAAGACAGACAGAGAATGGCCGCTGGATCAATTTTTCGCCGTTTAATGAGGCGGCTATTCATCTCCACATTGCTTCTTCCCGCATGCCAGTCCTTCCACCAGCCGCTCTACAATGGTCAACTACGACAGCAAGCATCCCGGCTGTCTTCTCTTCGTGAAGGCGATGCTGCGTTGAATCGGAGGTTGTTCGTAGATCAGCAGCTTGTACTGCCCATCGCCATGTCACCTTTAGTGGCGACAGCAGGCGTGCATGCGGCTGAGGAGGGGCCGCCCACTCCTGCTACTGCTCCACGGATAAGCGATCGGTGTTATTTGGACATGGAGTTGAATGGGAAGTTGCTGGGCCGGGTTGTGGTTGGGCTGTGGGGGGAGGAGGCACCCACGAGCGTACAGACGTTTGCACAGGTGGGTGGGACGGAGAGGGGATGGATGCGATGCATTGGATGGAGGCAGAGCTGGAGAGCTGGACACGCCGTTCTGTTATGTGTTTGTTGTGTGTGATTGCATTGATGCATTGCCTCATTGCCTGCAGTTGTGCGGCAAGACCTATCCCGGCGGTCTGTCATACGCCTACAGCGCCATGTCCAAAGTGTTCCCCAATCAGTTGGTCGTGCTGGGCAAGATCACCGGGGACGGCACAAAGAAGGTTGACAAGAAGATCGACGAGACGGGGAGAGTGCGGGTGACTTACACCGACAGGGCCACCTACGAGACCGCCAACACCGATTCGCCGTCAACCAGCCATTCGTCAGAGGGGCTCGTGTCTGTCAGGTGCGATGCGCTGCGGCCGGCCATTTTTGTGTTGTGCATGTGATGTTATGTCCCGTGCCTGCCTGCCTGCAGGCGTGGCGGTGGCACCTTTGAGTTTGGCGTCACTCTGCAGCCGATGCCCGACCTTGACAGAGACTACATTGTCATTGGCCAGGCGAGGAAGGAGCTCACACACAGACAGACATACACGCATTCATCCCCCCGTCTGCTTCCTTCGTGTATGTGTGTGTGCAGGTGTTGGAAGGCATGGATGTGATCAAAAGGCTCAGTAGGGTCAAATATATCCCTCCAGAAGACCTTAGAGTCAGGAAACTGACTGGCCACACAATGAATGGATTGACGAGGCCCAATGTTCATGTCTGTCTGTCTGTCTGCCTGTCTGTCTGCTTCTGTTAGGAGGCTTTTCGGAGTGTGGCCAAGGCGATAGGTGACCCGAGGGCCAGTGGTGGCGGCGATGCATACTCGCCCGTTGCCAAAGTCATTACCAAAAACGTTGGGCTATTGTGAGATCAGAGAGGGAGGGGGAGGGGATGGGCGGTTTTGCCGTGTAGATATCTAGATGTTTGGGAGAGCTGCAGCATCTCAGTGAGTGTCTATGGTGGCAATCGGTAGACAGACAGACGTATGGACACGAAGGAAGGAAGGGCTGTAGAATGAAGTTAACTAAGTTGGTCGACACGTCAGATTCAGGCGATTCGTGGTCTGTCTTTCTGCCCATCCGCCCATTAGGAACAGCTAGCCATACACTCGATAAATGCAATGCCTGCCCTGCCTGGCAGCAATCTACACAGGCTGGCTGGCTGCCTTCATCCTCTCAAACATCAACACATCTCTACTCCTTCCTTGACATCGCACACGCGCACTAGCCCCCGACTACTTCCGGCGACACGCTGCAGCTCGGGTCGCTGAAGTTCCGACGCACTATCGCTCGAATAATGTCAGCACGGACAAAGTCATGGGTGATGACGTTGACCTTCAGGCATCTCCACACGTCGCTGGCCAAGGCCTGCATGCCACACACACACACACACACGAAACACACGGGAGACAAGAAAGCCATCTCTCTCTATGTCTGACTGCGTGTTCTACTCTCTGTCTTCTGGCAGCGGCTGACCTGGAGCAGCACTTTGTGGGCAGCACACGCGGCCGCTTCGTTGGTCGAAAAGGTGCCGTGGCCACCCCGGCAGTTAAGGCGTAGGATGGAGCTGATGACCATTCGGGCATCGGGGGTCAGCTCAGCCTTTAGACACACGCACAGCACACATGCCCACCTAGCTATACATAGATCCGCTGTGTCGGTGCGCGTGTATAGGTGTGGACCTGCCTGCAGCACGTGCAGCTTCTTGTTCCGCCCACTGATGTGGCGCTGCTTGTCCTCCAGCCACTGCCACACAGACAGCAGACTGACTCGTCCATGGCCACCCATTCCTCACTGCACAGACCCTCTCTCCGACCCGTGCCGACCTTGGTCATGTTGTCCATCAGCTGATTCGGGTCAGCGGTGCGCGTCTTGCCCCAAGATCCTGCCCACACAGGCCCATGCGCAACATCACGACTAACGATCAACAAATGTAATCACACCTCGTGCATCTCACCGCGCACGAGGTCCTCTTGTGCCGGGAGGCACGTGGCCCCCTGACCCAACAACACCAGCCTCTTGCCCGCGTCGGCCAGCCTCCCTATCGGCCAGGTCAGGTGGTGACAATCGGCGATCTGAGGCATGCAAGGAAAGAGATGGCCTCCGAGGTGGCTGGATGTCTGTGTGTGCGCATGTGGGCTTGTCACCATGTCGTTGCAGTGGGCTTCCCACAGAGCTCTCACTTCCCCCCACTGATCGTCACAGAGCTTCTCCGGAAAATCGCCCTTCATCACCACAACCACCTGCACGAACACACACCTACGCGCACACACCCGCAAGTATGGACCGTCGGCGCAGCGCACCACTTCGGTCTGCGCGTCGCGGTCGTGCACAACGAACTCGGCGATCTCTCGGATGATCTCCTCCAGCGGCCGGCAGAGGAACGTGTGACTTACCCAGTACCTAAATGCATCACTCACCATACATACACACAGACATGCCTGCAGGCACTCACCACCCACCACCCCCCAGTCAGCTCATCACTTGGGTGGTGGTGGGTCGTGTTGCCTGAAGAAGGCCCCCTCTTTGGCAAGGTAGCTGCACACCGGTCGAGGCCTCTTGGAAGTGTCCTTAATCCGCAGGTCGATCAGCCGTATACCCATCCGCAGCTGCTGCAGCACGTTCACACCCTGACACCGCCCCCACCTGGCGGGCAGGCCACTCACAAAAGGGAATCTGTCTGCACCCGAGTCGTGGCTGCCTGGAAAGAAGAACCTCACACAACACACAATCTGGACATCAGCATTTCCCTGCATTGATTGCACTCAATGTATTCAGTGGACTCACCGGGCGGCGCCAACTCCACTAGCGACTTATCTCAGACCTCCTGATGCGTCATCCAGTCCTTCAGCGTCTCCTCCTCGCCGCCACTCGCCCACTCACCACCCCTTTGAGCGTTCGCGTGACGGCCACCCATTCGCGCCAGAAGCCCGGAAGGCCTCCCTGCACTCATACACACGGATCTGCATCCATGTGCGTCTGTCTGTCTGTGTGCCTGCCTGCCTGTGAACCGGTGTCGGGGTGTCTTGTGCTGCCGCAGCACCAGGTGAGCGACAGAGATGAGTCCGATCAAAGGGAAAGGGTCTGCTGCGTGACGCCAGCACCACACGGGGGAGTGATTGCAGCGGCCGAGCGATGCTTGGGATGAATCAATGGGCATGGAGCAGGGAGGGATGACCTGCAGACGATGGATACATGGATACATGACCATTGAAGACGATGGAAGACGATGGATACATGGATAGATCGTTGCACGCACGTGCCGTTTCGTGGAGGTTTGCTACCTCTTCCTTTCCTTCCCCGTGCCCCAACTAAGCTAAGCTCGCTGACGGCAGGTGGCCCCCAGTCTCCCCCACCTCACAGCAACTTGAAGTTCCGGCTTGAAGGAGTTTTGCCTGCAAAATCTGTTTCGGCGCGAGTCCCCAAGGCGTTTGACCCAGCCCTGTACACCTCCATCTGACGACAACATACCGTGGGGATGGCTCCTAAGAAAGACGACAAGAAAGGCGGCAAGGGGGCAGAAGCTGACTCCTTCAGCAGCTATGCTCCGCGGGAGCCTCTCCCGCCACCGCCGGCCCCTGCGGCCACAGATTTCCCTGCACCACAGCAGCCGAAGCACGTGCCCCAAATGTTCCCTGCCTTCAGTGCAGAAGACATGCAGGTACTTAAGGGAGGGCCGCGGCGAATGTGGATGGTGTTGTGCATGGGTGTGTATGTGAGTGATGTCAGGGTGAGGTGTGGCTGCCCGACGAGGTGGACAACCGTTTTGTGGACATCTCTTTCAACCGCTCGCTGCTGCCCAAGAGTGTCGCCTCTCGCGTCAAGGGCTGGAAGAGGGCATACGACCTCCCTGATCTTGAGAAGCCCTTCGAGCCTGAGCCACCGCTGCCAGGTGAAAGAAAGGAACACAGATCCTGCGTGTGTCCATATGTGTGTGTGTGTATGTGTGTGTGTGTGTGTTGTGTGTGACAGAGGTGGAAGAGGAGACGGCCAAGCCGGCCGATGCGAAAGGCAAGAAGGCCGGCAAGGACGACAAAAAGAAGGACGACAAAGCCGCGGCCAAGAAGGGCGCCCCGACGTCCACCAAGCCCGTCGATGAGGTCTTCGCGTCGGTCCTGCAGCAACTGCAGGCGGCCTCCGATGATCGGTGCTGCGTGCTGCCCCGGGCGGACTGGTGCTGTCGGTATGCGGGCCTGGGTGAGGACGAGAGGGACGTCGAATGGGCACAGTGGGTGGCGTCTCTCTACCGGATGATCGCAAACCACCCACGATTCTTCGCCAAGGTAGATAGAGTGGATTGAGGCATGCCAAACCACACCAGGCCACAGCACACTGAGGGTAGGGTGTGTGTCCATACGTATGTCGTTGTGCAGGGGACGTTCCTGTATGAGTGTCTGTATCCGCAAGACTCCCGCGGGCTGCCGCTGGTCAACCCCAACGGCCGATACCTCATGCGCCTCTTCATCCACAGTGCCTGGCGCGTCGTGGAGTTCGACGACGTCATCCCGCTGGACCATGCTGGTGTGCCACTCCTGCCCAAAGCAGACAACCCACGGCACCTCTGGCCCCTCCTACTCACAAAGGTGGGTAGGTGTGTGTGTGTGTGTGTGTGTGTGTGGCCGTGAGACACCTGTGTGAGTGTGTTTGTTCGTTGTGTGACATCAGGGGCTGCTCAAGGCGTTTCAGCCCGAGTTGGCTGCGGGTGTGCAGCAGCTGCCCATTGTGGAGGCCCTCACAGGCTGGCTCCCACACAGGACAACACGTACCATCTCACCTCTCCCCAGACCCAATATATAACCGCCCGATCTCCCTTTTCGCAGTGTCTTGGTCGTCTCTGGAGCGGTGTGTGCATCGGAACGTGATGGTGTCCCTGAGCCTCAAGTCGGATGCAGCGGCGGCCAACGCCCGTCGACGGCCGACCACATCGCCCTCCCCTGCTGCACAGGAGGACGGCAGTGTCAGCAGCACCGCCAAGCCAAAGAAGAGGGCGAGCAAGAGAAAGGTACAGAACAGAGGGAGCGAGGGATCGGACAGACATCAAATGGGTGGCATGCTTGGTGTCTCTCGGTCTGTGTGTCGGCTTGCAGGCTGCCGAGGAAGCGAAGGAAGCCAAGAGGGTACCTACCATACAATACACACAAAGGCGCCAGCGGACTTTTCCTTCCGCGGTTGCCTGTGAGTGAGTGCTTTCTCTGTCTTGTTCTTCTCAGCCTGACACGGGGGTGCGTGAAGCCCCTGCATTGCCCGAGACCATCGTGTGTGCCTGGCAGTCATACCTCCTATGCGAGATGGCCGATGAGCCCAGACAGGTAGGTAGGTAGGTAGGTACACAGCCGCCCACACTCAGCTAGCTAACCAGACAGACGCTCACACCGGTGGGTGAACTGTGCAGGTGCGTGTCAAGTGCGGATCGATGCGGCCGCTGGGATCGCTGCGGCGGCGTAGACGGCTGGACTCTGAGTATTCTGTGGAGGATGACCACACGCCAAAGACCTTCCCAAACGACACACAAGGCGCGTTCGACCCACTGCTCGCTGGACAGCAGCAGTGAGTCACAAACACACACACAACACAACCACACGACCGACCCTCTCTCTCCCCTCTGTCTCTCTGTCTTCGCAAAGGCTCAGTCAGCGTGTGCTGCTTTCCCCCTCCCCCTCACCCCCACCGCTGCCTCCGCCCCCCGGGCCCAAGACGACAGACGACGGCCAGGAAGCGCCGCCCACTCAGCAAGAGATCGACGACAGAATGAATGACTTCTACGGAGAGCTGGCCAAGAAGTGGCAGCCCGCCAGCGATCGTCCGCTGCCCATCCCGCCCGATGGCGTCACATACGATGGCGGCTGCTGGGTCTTGTGGGAGGACCTGCTCTCCCTCGCTGGCACATCGATGGTGCAGTATTTCCTCCCGCAGGACTACTTCCATGTGGCGCATTTCGACGGTGCGTGGGAGAGGCGGGACGAGCCGTTCAAGCTGCCGGTGCCGCATGTGTGTGTGCTGACTCTCGCCCCTCCCCCGCCCCCTCCTGAGCCGCCCAGAGGCAAGGGCAATCGGATGGCACGAACAGGGTAACAACAAACAGACCACAGACACAGGACAGGGGCTTGTCGTGTGTCACTAATTGATGTGTCTCCTGCCTGCACCCATGCTGTCTGTCAGAACAAGGTCTCGTGTCGAAGCGAGGCGCAGCAGCACCGGTGCGAGCATGCCGCCAGAGACCACCAGGCCGCCCGTGGATGAGATCCCGCGGCTGCCTACTATATTCCAATTCACGCCCCTCCTCCCCCTGCCGCCACGCACAGCAGCACCACCCGCCCCCCAGCAGCCACCAGAAGGAGCCGACCAGCAGCAGGACCAAGAGCAGCAGCAGCAGCAGCCGGCCTCTCCCCGCCCCCCGCCCCCTCCCTCCCCCCCTCTGCTCGACGAAGGCGAAGATGCCGAGTCATTCTTCTTTGCCGCACACACACAGACAGGGGAGCTGCCCCCCTCATGCGTCATCCAGGGGGTCACCGCTCTGCTGGGTGACGACAAGGACACGGACCACCCCACAGTTGCGCTGCATCACGCGCACAAGATGATGCAACGGTCGCGCACCACCACGGCAGCCACGCCCAAGGCCAGCCAGAGCCATGTGGGCAGCAGCAGTGGTGGCGGAGTGTCTAGTGGCGGGTCTGCTGTGTGGGAACAGGTGGACGGGGCGGGGGGCTGCTGGCTCAGAGGGGCGGGGGGAGACACCGCCGCTATGAGACTGCCTTTCGGAAAGTATGTATGTCGATCAGAGAGAGAGGGAGAGAGAGAGAGAAGAGGGAAGCTCATTCTTGTCTTGCAGGCATTTGTTTCTGATATCGATGGAGGCGTGGACGGGCGGTGGGCGGCTACGCGTGGCTGCCCCCAAGGTCGGCATGGGGGAGGCGACGGGAGCACAGATCATGCCCCTGAGCGAGTATCTCAGCGCCAGCGGCCATCTGCAAGTAGGCCGCCGGACAGCCATCCATCCATGGAATCAGAGAGAGGCATCTGTGTACCATCTTTCTTTCTGTGGGTGCAGACAGTGTCTGAGAGTGGTAGTATCCCCAGCCCCAGCAACCGATACGCCATCTGGAGCAAGCTCGTTCTTTCCCTCCCCGAGAGCCCTCCTCGTGACCTCCTCCTCTCTCTGCAGCTGCCACCCTCCCCTCCCGTCATCCACCCACACCTTTCGCTGTCGATAGCCCCCCTCCCCGCACCGAAACAGACCACAGAAAGAGAGGCGCCCAATGCCACAGCTGCCAGCCCCCCTGCACCAGCAGCACCAGCATCGCCCGGCCCACCTGTGTACCAGCAGCCAATCGACCCGCCATCTCCTCTGCCGTCAGAGTTCGTGTCTCTCCCTCCCCTGCCCCTTACACACATCCCGCCGTCGATGATTGTGGCTCCGTCACGACAGCTGCTGATCCTCCTGGAGGGCAATCTTCGCGAGCTCTGTCAGCCGGCCCCATTCGCCGCGGCAGTGGTTGGCAAGGGGGGATGCGCGAGACAAAGTGAGGCGGCCGGAGAGGGGAGGGAGGGCGAGGCGGCGAACAACAACCAGCTGGATCTCAAGGCTGTGAGCCTGCCATTTGACACCACCTGGGAGGGTGAGATGCGCAGCAGCGAGCACAACAGGGTGCTGCGGGAGAGGCTCACCGTCACGGGTGACAACGCCACAACCGCCACCCTTCGCCTGACCACCCAGTTCCCAGACGAGAGAGACACGTACCTGCTCCTGTCCATACTCATCCCCCGCCCGGCCCCCACTCTCGCACCTCCCCGCGCCCCTCCTTGCAAGGAAGAGCAAAAGACAGAGGGCGAGACAGCAGCGCCCCCACCAGGACCACCACCACCACCACCAGCGGCGGCCATTGAGAAACCCGGTGAGGTCGCTCCTGGTGGTGGGGTGAGTGTCCCGCCACTGCTGCCAGTGTGTGAGGAGGTGTTGCGAGAGGAGGGGAGGAGGGAGGTCTGCATCAGACACATCAGCCTGCTGCCGAAGGTACTTACGTAGCCGTATAGGGGTACAGCCACCCACAGCGCAGGAGCGACGCGTGTGTGGCTGTTGTGGCTGGTGTGGATGGATGGTTTCAGGTGCCCTACATATTGGAGTGTGTGGTGGATCCCTTCAGAGGCTCCACCGACCTCACCGGCGGCAGGTGGCGCATGCAACTCATCGCAACAGACACACTCGAGCTCGGAAGGGACACCACACAGGTAAGTCAGCGGCTACTCCCACACATACACACACACGCTGATGCACATCCCTCCTGCACACACACACGACACGGCGCCGCAGGATGACGTGGAGCGTGCGGTGCGGTCCAGCTGGGCGTCAGCCAAACCTGAGCGGCCGACACAAGCCAAGGAAACACGACACAAGTACCTGGTGGCCAGACAGGCGGAGACCACCGCCACTGCCGCTGATGCCACAGGTGGTGAGGAGGGGCAGAAGGAGCGGCTTCCCGACCCACCTGCACCCACATTGGCTGAATTCAGGTCACCACACGTAGCGAGAGAAAAGTGGCACTCAGAGTGCTCTGTTTGTTTGAGCCATCTCCCTCCCTCTCTGTTGCTTCGGTCTTGCATTCTGTTTATTCAGAGAGATGCTGGTGTGGCGGCTGCAGCTGACGGAGAGAGAGGCTTTTGATGCACTGACAGGGGTGGGGGCGGAGGCTGATCAGCCACCCCTCACAAAGGAGGCCTTCACAAACCACCCCCTCCTGCGCCAACGACTGAGTACTGTAAAAGTTCGATCAACCAACTATCCACACATGACACGACCTTCATGTAGAATTGCCGTCTGTCTGCAGAGCTCACCTCCTCCCAGTGTGCGGCCGTCTTTGACCTCCTCGACCCCCAGGCCACGTCCGGCATCACCCGACAGCACTTCATCACCTCCCTCACACCCCCACCCTCCCCAGCAATCAAGGCGCTCATCGACGCACAGGCAGCGGCAGCAGCAGCAGGGGGGGCGGGCAAAGACGCCAAGAAGGCGCCCCCGCCGAAGGACCAGGGCAAAAAGGGCAAAGAGGGTGCAGACAAGGGAGACGAAAAAGGGACGACGGAAGCGGTGGCGCCGTCGGGGCTGAAGCGGCCGATGAGAGACCAGGACTACGTCAGTGCCGCGTAGGCGAGACACACACACACACACACACCACTTTGTCAATTTGGGTGTCTCTCTGTGTGTGTGTGTGTGTGTCAGTTTGTGTGCGTTTGTGCGTGACGCCGTCCGGTCAGAGGAGGACCGTCTCGTCACCGTCGAGGGCACTTCGCGGCTGCTCGACCTCAGAGACGGTACAGACGCACCGCACATCTACATGCACACACACATATCGGGCATTTCTGTGTGCTGTCGCATCAAGACATGCTGCTGCGGTCCCACGAGCTCACCCAGTGGCTGCAGCAGGAGAAGGCAAGCCGTGAACAAACGGTGGCCGAGCGGCAGCAGCTGTTCGACAGCGTCAAAGAGGTCCGTCCACCCACCTCTACTGCTTCGCATCACATGTGCGTGTGTGTGTGTATGTATCTGTCAGTTGACGGAGCGCTGCCGGCTCAGCCGGTCGAAGGATCCCGGCCCGCCTCTCACCTTCGCACCCCAACGGCAAAACCTTCAGTAGCCTCACACACACACACACACACGCACACACCCACACACACACACACGAGACACAGTGGGAGAAACGAGAAACCTCTCTGTGTGTCTTGTTCGTTCAGGAAGCGCGTATTCGACCGGCGAGGCCGCCTCACAAAGCTCAAGGAAACCATTGAGGTGCTCATGGAGCGACGGACGGATGGATGGGCGCGGCGCACCCAAGTCCACACGCCAGCACACTGTGTCTGTCGGTGTGTCTGTCTGTCTGTCTGTGTGCAGGAGGGCCAGCTCGTGCTGGACACGCTTGAGCCCCTGATGAAAGAGGCACAGGAGTCGGAGGGGCACTACTTCGACAAGGCACTTATGGAGGTGGCCGAGAGGCGCCTGCGCATCCTCCAAATCACGCACCGGTCCGTCCGTCTGTGTGCCCGCCTGTCCACACAAATGAGTACGCCGCGTTAAACTTACTGTGTCCGCAGGTGTGGTGAGCTGGTGGATTCTGCGGCCAAGACGGCGGCTGAGAATGAGGCCTTGAAGGAACAGGCGCAGAGAGACGCTGGTGCACAAGGAGGTAAGTGAAGTGCAACCCTCCCCTCCCTCCCTGAACCTCCAACATAATGTATGTCTACCCCACTGAACACTCCTGCTGAGTGCAGAGGAGGGCATCCCGCAGCCCCCGCAGCCCAGGCCCCTGCTGGACCAGGAGGAGACACGCGAGCTGAGATCCCTCAACAAGGAGATAGACGCATTGCTGGACACCGAGGGCATCACAGTGGCCATAGAGGGGGCTGGTGGTGAGGGGGGTGAGGCCACTGCCGCTGCCGGTGCCGCTGCTGCAGCTGGCGCATGCAAGTGGCGGCTGAGCGAGGAGCAGCTCGTTGTGCTGAGGAAGGCGCGAGAGTTGGCCATGAGCAAGAAGCAGAAACGGGCGACGCAGCCTGTGGTGGCTGCCTGAACGAACGACTCGACTGACTGACTGACTTGTGTCTGCGCGTCAGTTGGTGACGGGGTGACAGTTGAGCGATGGATGCGATGCATCTGTGTAGGTGTGTGTGGCAAAGGCGTGTCAGACACGGGCCAGGTGTGTGTCGTGTATAATCAGTCGATTAGCTCATGACGGGCGTTGAAAGGTCAACACCCCCCCACACACACACACACACACTCAGCCAGCTCTGCACAATCTAAGTACTCTAGCCAGTCAATTCCAACACCCAACCAGCCGACACCCCACCCACGTGTGGGCCACCTGCACATTTCCCCTACGCACCCCCATCCCATCTACAACCTTCCACCTGTCTGTCTGTCTGTCTGTCTGTCTGAATCCGCTAACAAGGTCTATCTAGTCCTCCTTCTACCACCTTCCCGTCTGGCTGCTATGCTATGATGCCATCCCGCTCGTTTCTTCAGTCCCCCCCGCCAGCAGCGGCGGCCTCGCTGCCGCCCTCCCCCGCGGCTCTGCTCTTGTCCAGAGTGCCCCCCTGCACGATCTCGACCTTGTTGTGGCGGATGAGCTGCTCGACGTCGTTGGTCATGAGGAGCGTGGTCACCCGGCCCTCCTTGAGCTGCGTCGTCCTGACGCTGACGTCCCGGGTATCCTTGTCCGTGCTGATGGTCACCACCTCGCAGTCCTCCAACACGCGCACCGCCACGTCCACACACACCGGCGGATCCATGTGCTGCAGCGAGCGACACACACACACACAGAATGAATGGATGGATGGATGGATGGACGGATGGATGGATGGAAGTCGGCCTTTCTCGGACTCACTGACTGACTGACTGACTCCATCGCTCTGTCACCTTCGTCAGGTCGAGGGGCTCGCCGAGTCCGAACTCCTTGGCGAGGTCGCTGCCCAGGTCCCCGAGGTACGTGTTGAAGTTGTTGAAGTAGGTCTCCTCCTCGTCGCACAGGCGGCTCGTGAGGGTCTCGGGCAACACCGGACCCACCTCGAACCGCACCTTCTGCAGCTTATCCAGCCGATACGCCCTGCAGC